CAGATCATCTGTCCTAGATTTCTCTCAATAGATGCTGTAATAAATTCAGACCTAGTTTATCGCCTCAGAACCAGATTATTTTCTTCAGGTGCTGTTTTTCAAATCTATGAGGAAAACTGTGTCTGTTTGGGTTTTTATTAGTCATTAAATCGATGCCAAAGAAGCAGCGCTAACGAGCAGAAACATCCATCTGAGCTTCTGCTCAATCAGTTGGCGTTTTATCAACGATTCTGTTTCTCTGTTTCTACGAACTGTTTAGTGCTTTTCCTGTTTCTGGTTTCATACATTTTGTCAACCTAATAAGTTCTAAACATGAAGCAGCTGATTTATTCCTGCATTTTAATGCTTATCTCCAGATTCCCTTCAGGTGTTTTTCCTCAGTTAAAGCAGGAGACTAAAAATAAGCTCCTGTTGCAGTGAAGCAGAGAACGCTGCTGCTGGATGTATCTGCAGATGTTTGGGCTTCCAGCAGCTTTGCTCTCTGTGGTTCAGAGGTCCCAGAGCTGGAATCAGTGGAGAAGCCTGTTTTTTAATTTCTCTCTGTAACTTCTTTATCTTCTTCTCAGCCTGCTGCCTTCAGGTGCTTCCTCAGCTGCGCCTCCATCAGGCAGAGAGCATCTGATTGACCTGGTTTTATCTTCCCTCTAATCATTACTGCTCCTCCAGCTTTTCTGAAGCTCAGATCAGATATGGAGAATTTTCCTCACATTTTCATTTCAGTTTTACTGTTAACACACGGCTCATTAACACGCGGCTGGGTAAAAATCCTCATTAACTCATTTATTAGCACAGGAATGCTAAGCTAATGCAGCTAGCCCCAATATAATAGCAGTGAGAGCTAATCCAGTGAAATTTTAGGTTTGAAGGAGTTGATTTAGTTCTGGTTCTGGGAACTAAAGTTCAGAACCATTAAAATAAAACAGGATTTCCAGTCAAAGTTCATTAGAACCAAACAACCCAAACCAAAGCTAAATGTTGATGCTAACTGACTGACTTTCTCACTATATGTAACTTTTCACATCAAACTAGTGACTTTTTAATCTAGAAGTTGCTTGGTGACGACACACCATAACCAACATTTTACTTTCTGGACACTTTATGATGCGTAGCCAGAGCAACCTTAGCAGCTTTTTACAACCAGGAGCAGCTCTTTCAGTTGAAGGCAGCTAAAGTAGCTAAAGGCAGCTGAAGGCAGCTAAAGTAGCTAAAGGCAGCTGAAGCCATCTTAAAGTAGCTAAAGGCAGCTGAAGGCAGTTGAAGGCAGCTGAAGGCAGCTAAAGTAGCTAAAGGCAGCTAAAGGCAGCTAAAGTAGCTAAAGGCAG